GCACACATACATACACACTACGGGGCTGTGGAGTGTATTGCATTACTGTATTGATGGGAAATGGATCCAGTCCAGTGTTGGCTGCTAGCTGCCAGTCAGAGGCAAGAGGGCTAAACTTTCATCGTGGCTGTCAGGGACATCACTGCTGCCTTGTTTGATTGTAAATCTTCCTAATTGTGACAGAATACTTTGACGTCATTAATTAAACATGTTTTCATTTAAAAAAGCTTGCAGGGCGCCAGGCTGGGTGCTCGGGGTAGTCCGGCAATGTGCGTAGCTGTGTATTTTTTTTTTTTACTGTGTGCTTCTTCATTATTAAGAGTGCTTACATTTGTTCATCCAGTGTGTTTGCATGTGTGTTTGTGTGTGTGTGCGTTCCTTGTACCTTGAGTCTCCCTGTATGAGTGGGTGGCTTAATCGTCATGTTTATTTACACTCCTGTTGTCTGCAAACAGCAGGCAGTGCGGCGATGGGCATGAGCCAGCTCTTAAGGAAGTAAAACGGCATAAATTAATCCTGTCAATAAGCAAAACAAAGGCTTATTCTTAGAAGTCCATTCATCATATAGGAAGTGGCTCGAGAATAGTTTGCGATGCACATTTATTTTTGCCCTTTTTTTTGGTGGTTGTGGGGTTGGTGGCCCAAATCTCGGGAAAGAATTGACACAAGAACGTGCAAACAAAGGGAAGGAGAGACGACAGGAGGAAGGATGGAGGGAGGGAGGGAAGGAGGAAGCGACAGAGAGGGGAATTGCGTCCTCTCATTGTTCAATTAAGTCTGTCGGTAATGATCAAGATGAGATGATGGCCATCTTCCTTTTATAGATACTAATCTGTGACTGTCCGTGGAATAAGAGAATCGCAGAGTGGGGCGGTCTCCGCTCCTTTGTCGCCACCAGAGAAAGTCAAAAGTGTGTGTTAAAGAGTTTTTCTTCTCTTTTTTGCTGCCATTGTTGTTGTTGTTGTGCAACTGTTGGGAGCGGGTGACTTATTTTAATAGAGGGCACTCGCCTTTGTCAGGTGATTACGTTAATGTATAGTCCGTGGTCGCAGAGTTCACGACGAGCGCTTTGACTGGCATTGAGGTCTAATCGATTTCATTGCTATTACTGAACAGAAATAAATAAAGCTGATGGCTGTGGTTGGGGTAATTATGCCACAGCACAGTGAATTGTTTGATTTTCCTTATTAATTGTATTTATTTAATCCATTTCATGCTTTTAGTTGTGCACTCGGGGACTTGGAGGGAATGAATAAATCACTCTTAGGCTCATTAGATTCCCCCTCTGGTAGGGATGTGCCACTATTTTGTCAGAATCAAATTGGCGAGTGTTATAATTTCCCGCTGGTGTGATTCACATGAAAAATATCCACATATTCATCTACCAGCACATGTGCACATGCGCCCACACACACACACTCGCGCACATGCGCCCACTCCCCCCCATCTGAACTCCTGACCTTTTCCAGCCGTCTGATAGCCATTGACATTTGCCTCCTGAGCTGCGCTTGCTCACGTGTTGGAGCTGATGGGAATGGATGATGTTATTGCTGGAGGAGAAAAAGGGAGGGAAGGGGAAAAAAAGGTGGAGGGGGTGGATGTGGTGGTCGGGGTGGTGACGGGGGGGCAGTTGAAAAGAGGTGGACTGTGGTAGACAAGCTCCCCACGCGGCTCCTGGAATCCATCTGGACCCCCTGCTCCCCGGAAAGGTCACAGGGCGTCTCAGCCTTACATCCTCATTACAAAGGAGCCGTCGCTGTGACCTGAGACTGTTTAGCTACAATATGGCTTTCTCTGTCACACAGCCTGTCACATCCCCTCACTGCCTACAGCCATCACGGAAGGGACGTACAGTATGTAATGTAAGACCGTCCTCTTTAAGCATTTTGATTGATGTGTGGATTAAAGTGTGCATGACAAATGTCGTGGCAGCTTTGTCTTTGTCCTTGAAGACAGGGGATGGAACGGAGGGGCTGCACCTGGTCGGCTGTTTTCAGCTGCTCGCTGAAAAGCAGGACGCTCCGCTTCTTTACCGAGGGAGCCTTCTGGTGGCAGAAAGAGGCAGGGCAGTAAAAAAAACCTCATTCTCTGTTTGAAAGTGAGGGTGAACCACTTGTGCACAGTTAAAATAGTGTTAGAAGAGCCACCGGCGGAGAGTTTTCGTGCGAGCTGAGCCTGCACTTGTGCGTGTTGTGGTGTGGTATGTCATTTGTGCTTGTCCACCTCAGCAGGCCTGTCTTTGCTGTGTTTACACTTCACTCTCCACACCATGGGAGATGAGTGTCAGCCGAGAGCTGAGCGCCTGTAGGTATGAGAAGCTTCAGTTTAGCTTCAGACGCTGTCCTATCTAAACAGTGGCTGTGGCACCAGCGTCCGAGGCGTGCTGTTATTAGGCCGTGTACAGAAGGGAGAGATATGGATACAGCTTGAAGCAAATGTTAGATTTATTCTTACTGAAAGAATATTTTCTTTGTTAAATGATGCATTTTGAACTCTTAATTATGATTAATGTTACTATATTTCTTTAACGTACTCATCATTTTTCATTTCTGTGTGTAAATATGGCACTGGGACTATTTTATTTAACTCAAACTCTAGCAGGACTCATAATTGTTTTGTTTTTCTGTTTAGACATTAACAGGATAATAAAGCCCTCAGCTAGAAACTGAACCTCAGCTAGAGACATGAAACATGAACTCTGGTAGGAGTCTGTGTCGTTTTTCTTTTTTTCTTTTTTTGCATGAAATGATAGTCAAAAATAATGAAATGATAGTTTTATGCTCTCGCTCAGCTGCCAGCCTGTGTAAGGCTGCAGGTTTTTATGGCGTGGACTTGAACTCTTTTAATGACGCCTGTATTTCAGGGTGTCTACTCAGTAAAATGGAAGAATACTTAAGACTCCTTTCTCAGGCGCTGTAAAATTTTTATACCCACAGTCATTTTGAACACCCATGCAGATCGGCCCGTATTACATCATTGCTCTCGTGACCTCTTCTTCTGTCCTCCACAGTGCTCAGTATTCGAGGTGCCCAGGAGGAGGAGCCTCCAGACCCCCAGCTGATGAGACTGGACAACATGCTGCTGGCGGAGGGCGTGGCCGGACCGGAGAAAGGCGGCGGGTCGGCAGCTGCGGCCGCCGCAGCGGCAGCCACCGGCGGCATTGGCGCCGACAACTCAGCAGAGCACTCTGACTATCGGGCCAAGCTGTCTCAGATCCGGCAAATTTACCACACGGAGCTGGAGAAGTACGAGCAGGTGGGGGAAAAGCAAGCTCATTCTTTATTACACGTTGCTTCAAAACACATTCAACACTTCCTCAGCTATCATGGATCACGGATTTAGCTCAGGTCCTCTGTGTGCACAAGTTATTTATGTTGCTGTTTTAGTATAATGCGAGTGCATACATAAGCTGTATGTAAGTGAGGCTTTTTTCCTGAAAACTGAGCCCTTTGCTCAACGAAAGACACATAAATTTAACCCCCCTTTAAAAGGATGATCTCCCGTATTGATGTGCCCATGAGCCAGTCAATGGTACGAAACTCCCTTTTTTCTTGGATTGTGTATATGGATATATGTAACAAGGAATCCTGTGTGTAAATTCATTATTTTATTAGAGAAAACCTTTTGTCAGCAAAAATGTGATTTTTCTATTCTTTGGTGTTAAGTGTTTGAAAAAAGGCAAAACGTTGCACTTTCATGTTGATGGATACAGAATCTGTATTTTGTGAGAATTGTTGGCATAAATTTCAGCAGTTCCAAAAATCAATGTGGATGGAAGATCTTGCCATTCTGTCAGTATGACCTCACTGTTTTTGTAATGTTGAGGATCTGGCTTTTCATTTTAGCTTTCTAACGTCCCGTCCAGACCAGATCTTCTTGCCCTTTGCATTCTGGGAGAGGCTCCACGCTGCCAGCCTAAATAGGAATAAGTTGGTAAAGGACAGACGAGATATTTTCCTGAGGATGTTTAAGTAATTTTGTCAGTCTAAGAGTATAATGTTCTTGAAATCAGCACTCGTGGGACAGGCAAGCCGAGCCTTTCGGAGATGCTATCTTCAGCAGGCAAACAGTCACACACCAGCTCTTTTCCACAGACTGTAACATCTTGTCATTCCCGTGGAAGTCAAAGCGTTCTGGGTTTGTCATCTTCTCCGAGGAAGGCTAGTCATCGCTAACTGTCAAAGCCAATATACACCTGAGCATTTTTGTGTCACCACGCTATGTACACCTCACGTGGTATGAGTGAGTAGTGTCTAGCGTGTGTGTGTGCAAGCAGAACGGCTGCTCAGTGCATCACTTTGACTGACGTAACCCTGGTGTTGACAAGCAACAGACACCTTGACTCTGAATGCAGTCATATCCAGTGACTGATTCAGACAGAGAGAGAACGAGGTAGACGGAAAGATGGAGTGAAAAGAGAGGGAGACAGTTTAAACCTCTTGAACATGAACGGGACTGAAAGCCTGCTGTCATTTTAGATTTCTCTTCACTTGTCACATTCTCTCTGCTATTGAAGAGAAGTCTTTTTAATATTCAGAGCACTGCAAGTGTTCGCTGCCTCCGCTGTATGACTCCGCTGCCACATTTGTTTGGCTTGAAACATCGCTGCGTGTCTGCCGCTTTAATTCAGACTATTCTTATTACCTCTAACACTACTGCTGTTACACTGTCAGCACTGATCGTGCCAAGGCTTACCAGTGAAGGTGCAGGCTCACCAGAATCCAATTTCATCCTTTTGTTCTGTCTGAAGCTGTCGAGCCTCTGCGATAGTTATTCTTTTTATGAATCCTGCCTGTATGTGCATCCAGGCGTGCAATGAGTTCACCACCCATGTGATGAACCTGCTGAGGGAGCAGTCTCGAACACGACCCATCTCGCCCAAAGAGATCGAGCGCATGGTCAGCATCATCCACCGCAAGTTCAGCTCCATTCAGATGCAGCTGAAGCAGAGCACCTGTGAAGCTGTTATGATCCTGCGCTCACGCTTTCTTGATGCCAGGTGTGTGTCTGTGCGCCCCCAACTAAATCTTATTCATATGTACTTATATTTCTATTTGACTCTAAGCTGCTTTTTTGTTATCACTCCATTTGATTTTGTTATTACAGTTATTGATTATTGATGGTGCAAGAGAGGAGTCATTTTTCTCTTCTGTGTTTTTTCTGATCAGGCGAAAAAGGAGGAACTTCAACAAACAGGCGACAGAGATCCTAAACGAGTATTTTTACTCCCATCTCAGTAACCCCTATCCCAGCGAGGAGGCCAAAGAAGAACTGGCCAAAAAATGTGGCATCACAGTGTCACAGGTAAGATCCTAGGCAAATTGAGAAAATTAGGCTCTGTGGTAAGTGTGTTGCTCAAAAACAATTCAATTATTCTAAATCAGCAGGGCTCTGTGCTTCAGCGGTCGGGAGCCCTGTCAGCCTGGGGTTACCATTAGAAACACTCACATTAAAAACAGTTGGTTTTCTTACCAAGTTGTCAGTAGTTTCCAAAGCTACCAATACCTTTCCAGGAGCATTTGACAGTCAGTTGATGCAAAAATGATTCACAGTTTTTTCATGGAAAGACTGGATAGTTACAAAGACTTTAACTATAAAAGCTTCTTTTTTGCATGCATTTTCTTTTTGTACTGTAACATTTTTGCTTCATCATGGATCCTCGTTTTTCTTTTTGGGTTGTTTCATTGTTTTTTGTTTTGTTTTTTTACTCAGTTGGTACGCTGGCTATAATTTTCCATCACTTTTTAAATAAATACTAGTAATAAAGACGACCACCCAAAAATCTAATTTGAATAGGGCTAAAAAACTCACAGGGAATAGCAACCAAATTCAAACATGTAGAGCGTGGCACGAGCTGAATATGGAAAGTTGATCATTTACCTGCTTGAAGTGCAGAGCCACTTCTGCCTTGGGCTGTTTTGTTGGAGAGCCAGTCAGCCAGCCAGTGTAACTATGCAGCATGAATTGGTATCATTTCTATGACAGTAAATGTCAGAGAATCTGCATATAAGAGTCATTAGTGAATTTCTTGTGATTGCTTCAACTTTGGACTCAGCAGCTTTGCAGTGTCATGCATCTGCCAATTTTTTTGTTTTGTTTTGGGGGGTTTTTGCACCAATACAAGATTATTTTTCTGACTTATCTTCAATAGCAGATTATTTTTCTGTAGAAATACATGAAATGGGTTCTAGGTTAGGTGGTAACAGTCATTTGCAGTTCAACTGCAGGAAAAAGTTAAATCTGGTCCATGAAGTCCTCATCAAAACAAGAAGAGTGCTACTGGAATACTGCTGTTATATTTCTGTAGTGCTGAGAAGGCCTCAGTTTTCCCCCAGATAAGGTGGAGGAGGTGGCTGGAGAGAGGGAGGTCTGGATGTCTGTATAAGCAGAAGAAAGTGGATGGAGGGCTTTCCATATTGCTCTGTTCCATGAGAATTAATTCGCAAGCAACATGAAATACCGTGCAAAGAAGAGAGGAGGTTATTGTGCTAACTGGTGTACGTGGCATGACTCAGACTTTTTAGGTGTGCAGAGTATCATCTTATATTTGCTTTTATTTATCTTGCTACCGTCTTGACAGGTATCAAACTGGTTCGGGAACAAGAGGATCCGATACAAGAAAAACATCAGCAAGTTCCAAGAAGAGGCCAACATGTATGCAGCGAGGACTGCAGTCAATGCAACCAGCGTGTCCGCTCACGGCAGCCAGGCCAACTCCCCATCTACTCCCAATTCAGCAGGTGAGCTTCGGGCTCTGATTAAAGGCCGCTGGGCTATAGTGAAACAAGTTCCATCAATAGAGGCATTATCAATATTTGTTGTTCACCAGAGCAGATAGAAGCGTAAGATGGAGCGTATTGACGTTCTCATACCAAAGCCACAACTCAAGAATTCAGTCTCTGGTGATGTTTCTTATAGACTAACAGAACGCTCTCCTTAATTAACCCAGTAATACACTTTGGCTTTCTTGTCGTTCTTCTTCCATTTTTCTTCCTTTCTTCTCTGCCGTCGTTATCTTCCTCCCTCACTCATTCGCTCTCTCTTTCTCTCTCACTCTCTCTCTCTGTTATTGACCTCTTGGTCTTGTAGACGTTAATTTTTCCTGCCTCTTGTCCGGTTGACCTCATGTATGCCATTAAGCTGCTCAGAGGGCAAGCGGAGTCTTTTGTCATATAGAGACTTTGCGACTGTATTGGATTAGGACCGGGTGTTGAAATCAAGTTACGCGATGGTCTCTTTACATCTGGGGAGCTGGGGTCCATTAAAGGACGAATACGATTCTTTGGGTCTTCCTGCAGATCAATTATTACTTCCTTAATGAAACACTAGCAGCACGGACATGTAACAGTAATATGATCCATGAGGCTCGTTTTAATTGGATCTTAAACAGTTTTACGACGAGAACCTGTCGGATTGTTCTTGCTGGTTGATTCAGTGCGTCTATTGTGTGCAACTTTGTAGAAAAAGTCTTTTTCATAATGCCTGCCACGCTCTCAAACTAACCCATTCAATGCCTTTGTGCTTATGCATGATTTCATTTTAACTCCTTTTTCTGTCCCCCTCTTCTTCTCTGTTACTATCCCCTTTCTTCTGATCCTTCTCCTCCTGTCTGCACGTCTTTCTTTTTCTTCTGCCTCTGTGTATTCTCAGGTTCTGCTGGCTCTTTTAACATGTCAAACTCCGGAGACTTGTTCATGAGTGTGCAGTCCCTCAATGGGGACTCGTACCAAGGGGGGCAGGTTGGGGCCAACATACAATCCCAGGTAGGCGCCTCTCCAAGTTTAGCATCCCATGTGGCCGTAAACTGGCACATTCCTGAGCTCGTTTGTGATGTGGTTTAACCGCTGACCAGTCTGGGAGTTTAGATGCCCACAATAACTTGACCTACATTGTGAAACGGAGGTTATACTTAGCCTGAAGCACTACATTAATGTAGAAACCATTGTCAAGCCACAGTTGAGTAGACGACTGCGGACAGTTTTGGAAACGGTGCAACACTCATCAGCACCTCTGACAAGAGTTCACATAGCCACTGGTGCACTTTGTAGCTCCCTGACCTTGCCCCAGTGGACAGTCATGACCAACGCAGTGTTACAACTCTCACCACGGATTAAGGAATCACCACCCGTAGTGAAGGCCTCATTTGGTTTCAGTGCTTTCGGCATCACTTCCTTCTCCCTCCATTCCTCCTCTTCTGTTCTGATCAGCACGCCAATCGCTTTAGGTCGTTCATGAATATGCAGAAGGGACGGCCCTTATCGTAGATAAAAAGGTCTTCGGGGTTTGCCCTTAATTATTGAACCCGAAAGAGTTTATTTTTCTGATCACGAATGAATGACCTCAATCTCAAAGATTTGCAAGTATAAAAAAGGCACAAAGTACAAATTCATATATGTTTGTCTAGTTGGTAGAGCAGTCAGATTTGTTGTGAAATCCATATGGAAAGTGTGTTTCTGGGGAAAACAAATATAAAGAAATATGAATTGGACTGTGGAATCTGGAAAGAGCATGACAAAATGTTAACAGTAGAACAAATCCTGCATCACACCACGGTTTTATTGGCAGCAGGTGATACTGTGGCACTTCATCTGAGTGTTTGCTCGACTTTAAATAGTTTAAAGAAAAGACACAAGTCTGGACATAAGAATATACAACAAGAACAACAAATACATTGATAATTAGCTATCCTATATTTACTCCTGTGTTTTTGTCCTTTTGTGGCGTCTGTTATCGAGCTTGTAATAGAGGCCAAATCATTCTGATTCGCTGTTTGTAACCTTTTCCTGTTTATGATACCCTTTTACTATCAGACTGACCTTTCCTTGTGCATTACTGTCTTTGTTATCCAGAGCTTTTGTCTTACTGGTCCTTTTGTCTGTGTCCCCGCTGTTCCAGGTGGATACCCTTCGCCATGTTATCAGCCAGACCGGAGGATACAGTGACAGCCTCGCAGCCAGCCAGATGTACAGTCCACAGGGCATCAACGTAAGACCTGTAAACAATCTCATTCTGTCCTTCTCAGTGCTTCTTTGCTCTTTTACTTTGCAGTGATTCCCCAGCTGCACAATGTTGGTGATATCGCCTAAATCTGTATGCACACTAAAATGCCACTTAGCAGACTTTGCCGGGGTTGGGCTGTTGTCCAGCCACTTGCCCCCAACCCCCCTCTGTCTTCTGCCCCAGTCGTGCCCTATGGTGGCAGGCAACGAGGCAGCTACCAGGCTGAGTAGCTGGACATGCTCCTAGCCTGTCGGAGGATATTAGCGTTAGCGAGGCACCTGCAGTCGACAGAAACAAGGACACAGGTGTCATCGTCGCACCAGACGCTGCTCTGTCATTGCCACTGTAGGACGACTCATATTTATTTCCCCCTCCAAGACTGGCTTGGAAAAAAAAGAAGTTCAGAGTTGCTGCTAATCCTTAAAATAACTCGTTAAGCAGCCTGTCAAAGCCTCAGCCAGTTGTCTCGGTCTCCTTGCTGGGCCGGGCAGGGCGGGACAGGCAGCACTCGAGGCAGTGTGTTAGCATGTAGATCCACAGCGACAGGCCGAGCGGGGCTGAACAGAATCAATACGACAGTCACAGGGACAGAAAGAGCGAGGCTTTGGGCTAACAGTCCAAGCACATTGGCCAGATCATTCATCCACAGGAACAGCAGCACTGACAGCCAAGCCTGCAACACCCCTCGTGCTAAAATAAGAACGAGAACGCATCCAGCGCGCTGCAGCATGCAACAGGCTCGTTTTACATCTGTAATTTAGACTAATAACAACACACCAAATTATGAATCTCTGACCTCAGTCGCGCAGCTAATTTGGCTTCTTTCTTTTTCTTATTAATTTTGCTTTTTGTTCATAAAATGTGGAGGTAGTAGAGGATTATAAAAAACTTTGTTCTGCTCTAAATGCTTTTTTCTTTTATCTTCATTAGCCTTTGAGGATTTTTTTAAACATCAAATATCAAATGATTTAGTAATTCAGAGAAACGTAGCGTATCATGACTGCAGTGTAATTGTCATACATAAATGAGTGGTTAAACTGCAGCTACCACAAATGGCTTCATTAATAAATTGGAACTGGACGCTCAACGACGCATTTGGTTTTTAAGTGCTTTTATTGTCAAGGCAAGCCCCACCCCCCCAAAACTCAAATGAGCCACCCTGCAAAATTTAAATTGCAGTAATCGATATATTAAAAATAATTAAAACTAATTGTGCTGTTTGTTGTGAAATAGATCGCAGATCCAGCCTGAGTAGAAACACTTACTTTGAAAGCTTTAGAAAAGAATAGAAATAACTATTTCGGAAATTCTTAACAATATGAGGCTCTTTTACAGTTTTACTAACAAAAATTGCAAAAAGCTTATGAATGAAGTCGTGCATCTATTTAGCCCAAACGATATATTTTTTTTATTCTTTCTAAGATTTACTGACTGAACTCTCGTGGTTCACCTCTCCTTCTTTATCCTTGAACAGCAATTACAGCCCCTCAAATTGCTGGTGGGTGTCGACTTTCTCTGAGACTGGAAATGCATTTTTTTCCCCTCCTCATTCTTTCTTTTTTCCCTCTTCTTGCTTCTGAATAAGATGACAGACGGTCTTTACACAAAATAACAGGGTTTGGAAATAAGAGGCTGCCAAAGCACATTCCCAGCACTCACTAATAGCGTTGAAATTGCAATTAATGGTCTTTAGCCAACCTTTTATGATGATTTGAGAAGGCTTCCATTTTAAAGAGCTTTTTTTTATTGTGATAATTTATTCTTTTATCATCCATCTCAGGGGTATATTCTGAGATATATGAAAAGTCTGCGTATTCGCTGTTTTATCTTTGCTGTTTATCTCACATTATGTCGACCATGTGGAGGTCCAAGTGAAAGAAGTGGCATGATAATTTATTTCTTTTTCTGAAAGCATCGTTTGACAGTTTTTAGTGCTTTCATTTAGAGGTTTTAGGAGCAACATCACTGCTTTTGAGAAAGTCTTTTATATTTGCTTTTACGTTTAGGGTTTACCTGGTATTCTTCATATATATTTAACAACAAAACCTGCTAAGCAAAACCTTCTGCTGTGAATATTTTTCGAAGGCGTTACCTATAGCGTACTCCTTTTTATTGGCAGGTGTAGTTCCACATTTATTATCTTCAATCAATACACTAAAGATGTAAATATTAAGTAGTGTGGTTTATATTACATAGATGTCATATAGAAGGCAAAGAGTGCTTTTGTTGGGCTCAATATTTGGCTCTATTTGAACATATCTGGGGGGACGGGTGAGTCTGTACAGCACACTGTAAAAAGGTTTGTGTATATTTTAAAGTAAAACTGTAATTTTCAAAGAAATCTTCACTATTCATTAGTTTTTCCAAGCAACCTTACCTCAGTGAATTACAGTAGTGACCCAGCATACTAACACATATGCACACACCTATTATAGTATCTTCCTGTAGATATTAGAGTATAATCAGTTACAGTGTAGCTGTATGGCGTATGGGTACTTTATAAAACTAGGGTGTAGTGCACCGGTAGTCCCTTGTAATGAAAGCATATGATGAAGTTTCATTTTTACAGCAAAAAGCTCATAAATCGTCTTATTGTCTCCCTGTTTAAGAGTCCAATGAGCAGATTAATACCACTGTCCTGTGTGGTCATTTCGCTCAACATAAAGAAAATATTCCAGCCTCGCTCTGACAGGAGTCTGCAGATTAATTAACGCATTATAACGTATTAATTTACTCTGCACAAAAACCGAAGTGTAGAAGTTGTGACCAGCGTCATCCCTGGCATATTTTGATTTTAAAGAAAACAGGACATTATGTGTTAGTGAGTAGCAATATGCCAACGTGCAGATTGTTTTTATTATATCTGATCAGAACCAGCCGAGTTAAACACCTCCAGGCTCCAGCCTCATGGTTTGCATGAACCTGTGAGGTAAACTCCTCACCTAACTCTTGTTCACAACACAAACAGGAGGAGGAGAGTTTTTACTAAGAATATTTTACTTTGGGGTAAAAAACATGTTTTTTTTTCCTTCTGTTTACTCTTTTCTTATAAATCTAGAACCACTCTTTTTATTTTATTTCATATTAACTGTAGTTTGTGTTTATTTGTTTTAATTTTAGTGATTTGGTTTGGAGAAAACTAAAGAAGAAAAGAGCTCTGTAAATGCATGAAGTCAGTTAAATAACAGCCCTGAATAATAACCAAGCTAATCGTGTTTGAGATTTTTGACACAATTTAGCAGCCCATCCTTAATATAAAGAATGATGATATTTCATATCACATTCATATTCAAGCTAATTTTGTCTTCTTGTGTCTTTACAGACAAACGGTGGCTGGCAAGATGCTCCGACTCCTTCGTCAGTGACATCGCCCACAGAAGGACCCGGAAGCGTTCATTCAGATACTTCCAACTGAATATATCCATCTCTACACTCCATCCACGAAAAACAAACAAAAAATGTAAAAAACATGAACTGACGTTGCTATTCGCAGTATTAAAAAAAAGAAGAAGAAAAAAAGGAATTCACTGCCCCACCGTACGGCGAGGTACCACGAAATCCTAACCAGAAAAATTCAATAATATTTCCTCTGCTTATAACGATGGACTTTTGGGATACAAACAAAAAGTTTCACAATAAAAAATATTTCAAAAAATTAAACGATATTGCAATCAATGGAGATGTTTGTACAGATTTCACATTATAATCGGAGGGCTGGGGTTCCTTATTCACTCGTAATGTTTTCGCTCATTATGACGATAAGATAAAGCAAAGAAATAAAATCATTGGTTTTAACTGAAAATACTTCATTCTACCTCTCAGCCACTTAAAAAAAACAACAAAAAAAGTAGAAAAATGTCAGTGACCATTATTTGTTTTGTAAAAATGAAACTTTTGTCTTTGCGAGCAAGAGGCACATCTTCTTACTTACATTTTGTTGTCTCTCACCTATTCTATGGTACGCCATTTAGACTTAAATATTGCTCAGTTGTTTACAATGTGTGCTTGACAAAAAGTATGTTCATCTTCCCCTCGCTGTCTCCGACGAGTCAAAACCAAGTTCTGTCAGGAGATTTTTACCTCTAAGGTAACCCTGTGAAGTATGTTATCTGTAAAACAATAAATAAATACCTGTCATCAAATCAGACAAGCTTGACATTATTCATTAAGAATCATTAACCTAGACGATTTTACACAATGTTGGTTTTGGTTCTGCAGATACACGAATGACAGATTTAATAGGAAAAGTAAGAATTGTGTTTTTCTGAGTTCTTCTTTATCGCAGCAGATTCTGATCATGCCAAAACAAAACTGCTCAGTTTACTCGCCGTGTTTGGTTACTTTGTTACTAATCCCGATCCTTTCCGAGAGAAAGATGAAAAGAAATATTACTTTCATCGCAGACAAAAGTTTGTCAAAGACGCATGTAACTCAGTTTGTTGCAATCCACTTAAACAGGGAAGTCATTATGCTAATAGAGTTTTACATGCTCGCACAGTGGATCTTTGCTCCTGAAGCTGCGGCGCAGGCCCACAGATGCTCGTAGCATGAAGCCAATGATCACCGTCACGACGGAAGGAGCAGGTGGATGAACTGCGGCTCAGCTGAGGACAGTTTTTGACGTGTTACGCATTTTTTGTTGAATTGTGTCCTTGTTAGGATGTTCATTTGCATATAAATCAGTGCATTATTCTGCTGGAAGTGCTTTAGTAACTCTAGAACTGACACCAAAACAAATATAGATGTTCAAAGTCATGCTTGCCTCCGTACCTATCAGGCTGATTCTTCTCAGTATCAAAGTTTTACAAGGAAGCGTTAACGATGAAGTACTTAAAGAAGGGACGAGTCATTCTGTCAAATAATGTGTTTTCTGAGCAGTCTAACCTTGTTTATAGACACTTTTTATGTTGTGTGGCCTATTTGTTTGTATTTGTATTTTTTTTATGGTGTGCTTAATGTAGGCTCCTATTTTTTTTTGCTTTTTTGTTTGTTTGTTTTCCTATTCTTGTGAATTAGCTCATGGGTTTTCAACATGTGTTAATGTGCACCACTGTGCTTGACTTGCTTTGTTGGAAAAGGGTTTTCAACACATTAAAATGATATGTAATGCAGAGCGATCATACATCCAGCATTTTTTATTATTGTGGCTTTACGAGACAGCAACGACTCTACGTTTTTGCTCACACGGAGGCGTCAATGGCGCGATGGTAATCACTGCTGTGATAACTGAAAGTCAGCCAAGGTTAGTGAGCCCCCACTCCCTTAATGGCTCCACATCTTCCTACCATTCATGATGGCTCTTGTCCAAACATATTCAACATATTTGGACACATGCACTCAGATAAAAGCACACTGAACCAAATCCAAGCATTTACAGTGAACAGAGGGTTTTGTGTGTACTGAGGATGTAACACACATGTGTTTATGTAGCATTTTTAACTTCAGGTTGTACCTTAGCCATACACTCATAGAGCAATTTATTCTGTACACTTAAAGCACTTTATCTACCTCACAAGCAAGTCCAATTTAGAATCACCAGTTAACCTGACAGGTATGTGTTTGGACTGAGGGAGGAAGCTGGAGCACCTCCACACAGAGAGGTCCCAGTTGTGGATCAAACTGGGAATCTTCTTGTTGTGACTAGTGGTGCTACACCACTGTGCCATCCAGAAACTTAGAGTGTATTGACTGTGAGCCACAAAAGCTTCTGTATATACTCATCAGCACCTCTCACTGGCTGACACTGACAGGCTCTTTCTTAATTGGTAGTATTTTTCAGCAGTTGTTACAGACTGAAGTAGATTTGGTCTTGTTAATATAATTTTTTGTCATGTTTGTTGATATCGTGGGAGCCCGGTCAACACCTTGAGCTCCTTGTCATGTTGCTCGAGCAGTTTTTCATGATGACAAATTGTCGTGCTGGGAGAGGCTGCTGCTGATGGCGGTTGTTGCTGCTATGTGGGTTGTGCTTAGTATGTCTGCATAGTATTCACATGAATGTCAGGACCCAGGGGTTTAGATTGTTGCACAATAGGTTATTGCATTAATCAATGTGATTCACGTCATGTCATGACAAATCCAAAGACCAAGACAAAAAAAAAAAATCTCTTACTCTGTCATACTCACCAAGCTCCAAGCTCTTTGTGTCCTGCTGAGGAAGGAGGCCTTTAAAGGAGACCTATTTTGGTTTCTTCCAGCTCGATATATTTATTCTTGGACCAAAGTAGCTTTGTATGATTCACAGCTTGGTGCGACTCCTCTGTTCATCTACACTTGCCAGTTACCTTCCTCCTCCTTAAAACCCAATTTTTTCTGATTGGATTCCTCTCATCAACCCAAAATTCAAACAAAGAAGTCTCACCTTACACCTTACATACATTTTTATGGTCTATTGAGTTTTTCTGTAAGCTTAAAATTCGTTTCTTAGTGTGGCTCATGATGTGTCTTAGTAGGATAACAATGGAGGACATTGCTCAAGCAAAATCACTTGAAGTCGTGATTCGGCTCAAAATCTGATAGAAAATGAGAAAATGATCAGATTCTTCAAATACAAACAACACAGCTGACAATATCTGAATGGACAGTTGCATGTCTGACAGAATTACATTCATAGCAAGTGAATATTCATAATTGGCCAAACAACAGGGCCGAGGGTATGTGGGAGCAGTTGGTGGTATAGTCTGCGGACGGTCAGAGGCCTTGACTGCTGAGCGAGTGTGAAGTGCCAAAGCCAGACTGCTCCCCTGCACCCCGAGGGCAGCGAAGGAGCCGGGTTGTGCTCACCAGCAGAGAGGGCCTCAAAAACAATCTGACAAGACTTCTCATCTCCTGGCCTCTGCAGTGCTGCAGTAGATGCTCATGAGCGAGATTATTCCAGTGTCAAGCCTGCAGCTTTGTCATCTGAAACAATAACATCAAGTGAGATAACTCACGCAGACTGAGTTTTACTTAATTTTTGAGGGATTTTTTTTGTCATGCAGCGTAATTCTCACACCGCCGAGGTGGTGACACTGCACAGGCCGACTGAAATATAATGCTGCTGTTGACATCTGTTTTCCAGCTGTCAGTGAAGCACTGTTTAAATTGCAGCTGCTGTGGAAGGGGCATGGATGAGTGGCTCAGACACCTTGTGTCTCCCTCTTCTCAGCAGAGCCCATACTGCTTGAATATGCAGTGAAACTACCACTCACACATTGCCTGGATGCTTCATCTTAAATTCACTTATTCACACACTGTAACCCACAGATTATATCATGCACAGGAGACAGGGTGTGGCCCCTGAATTTTTCTGTATTACAGTCTGTTACTCATCTCTTATTTTTTATAATGGCACAAGGCAACGTTTTAATGAATGTTTAAGAGGAGTCATGTATCCAGGCTGTTTAAAGATTCAGTTACATGAAGACAAAATGATTGATCAGAAGAAAAGCTGTGTACAGAAGAGCCAGAAGTGTTTGTCTTCTTCCACTAGATGGCGACTTTAACACATTTTGTCAAAACTTTCACATCCTCCACACTGTGATATGGAACAGGAAAGATTGCTTTCAGTATTTCCCAGTGGGAATGTTTTGACTGAAGTAAAACCCTAACCCTATCAGTAATCATCATTTCAGTTTTGGGTTTTTCCCCCCAGTTACTCTTGCACAACACTAAAAACTTTCGTTATATCCCCAGAGTGATGACGCCTCTTCTGTTTTCTTTGCAGCTGATCCATCTCTTTCACTCTTTCCTCTCAGAAAACCACTCAGATTCAGTCTCTGTGTATTTTCCTGTCATGGAAAAACAGTGACAGCAGAATGATATGCATATGTGAAAAACATGGCAATTCAAAATCAACAAATATCAAGCCTTCCGGTGAATACTGATGATTGCATTTCAGAGCTGCTCTCCTTTTTACAGAAGACGTTTTCAGCTGAAAGACTTGTAACTTTGTAAAAATGATGCATGGTTAGAAAAAGGCAGATTTCATGAAACGATCTCCACGGCACTGCCCGTTCTGAATAATAAAAACATTTAATAAATATATATATTTTTTGTTGCATGATTTTCCTCATGATTGTATGCTGTAGTATACTGTTAGTTTTGGGTATTCTCTCCAACACTGCCCGGTGTTGTGCCAAAAAGTGATCACTTCATTACTAGCCCTTGAACAGGTACACACAGAAAGGTGGGGCCCCATGAAAAGCAGCACTACATGTAAATGTAATGTTAGAGCGCCCCTGCTGGATGGTTGCTGTTTGACAGCGAGAAATGCAAAGTGTTCGGTTTCCTAACATTCCTTCACCCCGATGCTCCTCCTCTCTCCTGTTGGTGCCAACTCCCTCTATCAACTTTCCTGAGACAAAAGCTCCTTTTGTGGCGGTGGAAAAACAACATGGCAGAATTTGCCGTCCAGTCCGAAGGAAGAAGCGAGGGGATTGTGGTAATTAAATTAGGAGGCTGACGGGGAAGGGACAAGTGTCGAAGAAAAGCGTCGCTCGTGTAGGGATGCACAATTTGCGCAGGCAGACAACTTTGCGCGCCTTGCAGATTGCTTAAAGTCACATGCGCTTCTGGTGCAAACAAGATAAAACTCGTACCCGCTGTTTTTCTCCTTGTAGTACAGCAGAAACATGATGTTTGCGTTTATCTACCCCCCTGCAGATTAAAGATGACTGGCCAGGCTACAGTTTAGATCTCTTCAGCTATCCAGCACACTACTCCGGAGATTTAGACTGCGTCATCATCCCGCATGGCGTGATTATGGACAGGTACATGGCTACAACTGGGAAGTCGCTTTCTTTGTTCTTTGATAAAATCGTGCATCAAGGAAGTAATGTTCCCATATGCTTTTGCACGGGGGCTGCATAAAAGCCTTTGTACAGTTTCTGGGGAAATCCAGGGGATATCATGCACAGATTATGCGATATGAACTTGACGGAGGTTTTGGCATGCTTTTATTGAAATGAATCCTGGTAAAGCTTAGAAATTCCCCAAAGAAACAAACAAAACAAATAAAAAACCACAGCTCCCCAATGAAAAGCTCAAATCCCACAGTAACTCCCCGCGTGTATTCATACTTTTTTGGTAAAAAGAGAAAAGCCAGCAGGAGTTCAATCATACTTTGTTTTAAATAGTACTTATTAACTTCTGTATGTCTATAAAAGAAATCAGAAAATGAATTTTTAATTAAATAATTAGTGTTTTTGTCACGTGACACAAAGCTTTTTATCTTACTGTAAAACACAAAAGCTCTGTATGTGGGTTTGTTTATGTTTCTGCTACCTGCCGTTACACGATCAGGAGCCAAATAACCAAACTTGGCACACGGGTACATTTTATGCACCTGAAGTTTTTAATCTATTACCGATATCATGACATCATGATGTTTCCCAGCAATCGTCTAACAAAGGTCTAAAATGATCTGTTCTTAATACCCGTGCACTAACAGAACTATGTCAGTTTTATGTAATAACAGTAGTTGTAATTTATATCTACAAAAGAGGTTCTCTGGCAACCAGCTAGCAATGGGCTCAAATCAACCATTTTTAGAATTTACGCACGTAGAACACCTTATGATTATTATTTCATGTCAAACAGCATGAGCGGGCGGAACAGTACTGAAGCATGGGCATGTACTACTATGTATAGTTGTGGTCAGATGTTTAAACAAGTTGCTTAGGCATAGAATAAAAAGTGCAGTAGGAATGTGCGTGCGACTGGCTGAATAAGCGTTTTAGGTGCTCAATTAGTGTCAAAAAGTGCTTTGCCAGTAGTCAGTTTAAATCACATGTAAGCCATCTGTTTTTCTTTCTTATAAAATATTTAAAACATTTATTTAAATGTAGTAAACGGTTAATCAATCAGTTTACCTGTCTTTGCATATTTAACCAGAATTATTCAATATGGTGAAATAATAACACAAAGCTAAACAAATTTAAACATCACATATGGTTGTGGACCGACAGGGATTTCAAAACTGTCTTAACTGACGAGAAAAGAGGTCTTTAAGAGGTAATTCACCTTTTCTTCATTGTACACAGAACAGAACGTCTCGCTAGAAACATCATGGATGACCTGGGGAACCACGCCATTGTGGTCCTGTGCGTGCTGAAAGGAGGTTACCAGT